CTGTTGTGGTATCGGTCGATATTTCTGTTGTGGTTGCTGTTGTGGTTTCGGTCGATATTTCTGTTGGGGTATCGGTCGATATTTATGCCCCCATTTCGAAGAAAAGTGGGTATATTGCTTTGCACTTGTCGGTCCGTCGGTCCGTTGGTCCGTCGGTCCGTAGACCAAATGGTTTCCGAGTGATAACTAAAGAACCCTTAGGCCTAGGAACTTCAAACTTGGTATGGTGATTGGTCATGACCAGTAGATGACCCCTATTGATTTTGGGGTCAAGGGGTCAAAGGTCAAGGTCACATTGACCTTGTAAGCAAAAACGGTTTCCGATCAATAACTAAAGAACCTTAAGGCCTAGGAACTTCAAACTTGGTATGGTGATTGGTCATGATCAGTAGATGACCCTTTTGATTTTGGGGTCAAGGGGTCAAAGGTCAAGGTCAAACATTGACCTTGTAAGCAAAAAATGGTTTCCGATCAATAACTAAAGAACCTTAAGGCCTAGGAACTTCAAACTTGGTATGGTGATTGGTCATGATCAGAAGATGATCCCTATTGATTTTGGGGTCAAGGGGTCAAAGGTCAAGGTTACTTGACCTTGTAAGCAAAAACGGTTTCCTATCAATAACTAAAGAACTTAAAGGCCTAGGAACTTCAAACTTGGTATGGTGATTGGTCATGATCAGTAGATGACCCCTATTGATTTTGGGGTCAAGGGGTCAAAGGTCAAGGTCACATTGACCTTGTAAGCAATAACGGTTTCCGATCAATAACTAAAGAACTTTAAGGCCTAGGAACTTCAAACTTGGTATGGTGATTGGTCATGATCAGTAGATGACCCTTTTGATTTTGGGGTCAAGGGGTCAAAGGTCAAGGTCACATTGACCTCTTTGGTAAAAACGGTTTCTGACCAATAACAAAAGAACCTTTAAGCCTAGGAACTTCAAACTTGGTATGGTGATTAGACATGACCAGCAGATGACCCCTATTGATTTTGGGGTTAAGGGGTCAAAGGTCAAGGTCACATTGACCTCTTGGGTAAAAACGGTTTTCTGATCAATAACAAAAGAACCCTTAGGCCTAGGAACTTCAAACTTGGTATGGTGATTAGTCATGACCAGCAGATGACCCCTATTGATTTTGGGGTAAAGGGGTCAAAGGTCAAGGTCACATTGACCTTGTAGGTAAAAACGATTTCCGATCAATGATGAAAGAACCCTTAGGCCTAGGAACTTCAAACTTGATATGGTGATTGGTCATGATCAGTAGATGACCCCTATTGATTTTGGGGTCAAGGGGTCAAAGGTCAAGGTCACATTGACCTCTTAGGTAAAAACGGTTTCCGATCAATAACTAAAGAACCCTTAGGCCTAGGAACTTCAAACCTGGTATGGTGATTGGTCATGTCCAGCAGATGACCCCTATTGATATTGGGGTTAAGGGGTCAAAGGGCAAGGTCACATTGACCTTGTAGGTAAAAATGCTTTCAAATCAATAACTTAAGAACGCTTTGGTCTAGGAACTTCAAACTTGGCATGGTGATTGGTCATGACCAGCAGATGACCCCTATTGATTTTGGGGTCAAAGGTCAAGTTCACATTGACCTTGTATGTTAAAACAGTTTCCGATCAATAACTAAAGAACCCTTAGGCCTAGGAACTTCAAACTTGGTATGGTGATTGGTCATGACCAGCAGATGACCTATTGATTTTGGGGTCAAGGGGTCAAAGGTCAAGGTCACATTGAACTTGAAGGTAAAAACGGTTTCCGATCAATTAACTAAAAACGCTTAGGCCTAGGAACTTCAAACTTTGTATGATGATTGGTCGTGACCAGCAGATGACCCCTATTGAGTTTTGGGTCAACGGGTCAAAGGTTAAGGTCATGACCAGTAGATACTTGATAACCCTTATTAATTGTTTGATCACTGGGTCAGAAGTCATGCATAATAACCTTATCACATGACTAATTGGCTGCTGATAGGGGGCATACATGTTTTACAAACATATCTTGTTCTGTTGTGGTTGCTGTTGTGGTTTCTGTCGATATTTTTGTTGTGGTATCGGTCGATATTTCTGTTGTAGTTTCTGTTGTGGTATCGGTCGATATTTCTGTTGTGGTTTCTGTTGTGGTATCGGTCGATATTTCTGTTGTGGTTTCTGTTGTGGTATCGGTCGATATTTCTGTTGTGGTTTCGGTCGATATTTCTGTTGTGGTTATGGTGAGACTTTCTGTTAAAGTCATTGTATCGCATGCAGGTAGACCTAATGATGTCACCAAGGATATACTAGTTGACGAAGGCTGGACTAAAACTTGAAAAAAAAAAAGAAATTACATTTTCTCTTATTTCTAGAAATAAGACTTATGTGAAAACTATTTCTGTTACGAAAAGACTGCACTTTTTTGCGGACATATACATGTAAAAACCTTACAATAAAAATATGAAACAACTGAAGAAGAATTATTTGCCCTTTATTTACATTCTACAAATGGTTCATCTCATTTTTGAAACACGCTCTCAATTTTAACTGTTTATAATCAGTGTTTAAGAAGTTGCCAGTAGAAAACTAGTAAATAAGCATAAATGGTAATGTTTACATAAAACTAATTAACAGTAAAACTCTAAACTTACTTGAAGAATTGCTACATGTTACGTTAGGTGTTACTTCGACGCTTGCTATATCTGTGTCAACTGAGGTCTCATCTAATATCACTTGATATAATGGAATATAAATAAAAGAAAAAACAAATCAAATGGGATCTTCTTTTGGCAAATAGATACATTCTAACATACAAAGGTATAACTTTATAATACATGCATTCAAATAATAGGAGACAGTACATTAATATGCAACACCTGCCCATGGTATTAAACAGCCTTAGGAAGCGTCCCATAATGGTACATGTATATAGAACAACACTTTTTTCTTAAAGGCCTATTATGTCCCAGAAACAATTAAACTGTTATTTCGCAAAGGTTTTCTTATTTCTAGTGTCCTGTTAGTTTGCTAAAAGTAACGAACTGGGTAATTACTTTAACCATCTTTGGCTTCTGTTGCTTTTGGCAATAATTAAAAATATAGAAATTTATTTATTATTTTGTAAGTCAAACTACTACTTTGTTGACATTTTGCTATTTTTATGACAAATATAGTTTAATTCGCACTCAGCACTTCGTTCTTCAGGTGATGAGCATCTAGCATGGTCTTTAACATTTTTATAAACCTTATACAACTTATGTTTGCCCTTTTTAATGTTGAAAACAATTGAGCCGCGTCACAGCAAAACCAACGCAATGCGTTTGCGACAAGCATGGATCCAGACCAGCCTTTGCATCCGCGCAGTCTGATCAGGATTCATGCTGTTCGCTTACAAACCCTATAACAAGTAGAGAATCTGTTGCGAACAGCATGGATCCTGATTAGACTGCGCGGATGCGCAGGCTGGTCAAGATCCATGCTGGTCGCAAACCCATTATGTTGGTTTTGTCATGACGCGGCTCATTTATTCATTTCCGAAACACAACGTATCTTTAACAAAGGAATCTATCAAGCTACACCTTAGTTTTAGGACATTGTACACCTAACCAAATGATTACCATGTCAACAAATAAACTTTCTGTTCGGTAGTGTCACATGTATTCTGAATAAGATACACGTCTTAAGGTTTGAAGTACAATTCTGGTATGTTGATATTATTCAAATACTTTCACAGATGTACACATATTTAGAATGTTCATAACTAAATACATGTACTTCCGTGTAAACAATTACACTTCATCATTTTCTTAGGTCATTTTTATGATATTATGATATTTATAACTGGGTGTACTGGAATACATGTACAACAATACCTACCGTTTGAACAAGCTTTTGATGCCAAATTAAAACTATCGACACCATGTCCTGGAATAGCTAGCTGTACACAATTGTCTGGCACATACTGCACTGCCGCCCAGCATTTTGGATCACTAAAACATAACGATTCGCACCCTGTTATCCCGAATGTAACAGATAACACCTCGCTATTTACTTGACCAGTGAATTGGCAACTCTGCGCTGTGCAAAACAAAAGAAAAACAACGGTTTCGTGATAATTAAAGATATGCACCTTTAAGTATGTGATTCTTGCGAAAAGTATATGTATATGCGTTTAAATTACGACATAAAAATCGGGTCTGTAAACTAGTCTTAACACTTGTTCTGGTAAAGCACTTTTATAGAATAATTCGCACAAGATCTAGATTCATTGCTGATAAAACATGCTGACCATGAAACTTTGGTTTTTCTTACGGTGTTACGTTAGGGCAAGCGCCTTTTCTCTGAGAACGATAAGCGCGAAGCACTGTCGCCATCGTACTGTCGTGCTTCACCAACCATCGTACTTACGTTAAAGCTCGACAGTACGATGGTGTCAGTACGTTGGTAACAGGACAACAGTACAATGGTGTCAATACGACAGTACTATTTACTGTCACCATCGTATCGCCGGACTTCGCGCTGTTTGTTCTCGAGAAAACGCACTGGCCAGTCTGTCTGTCTGTCCGTCCGTCAACAAAACTGTATCCCCTGATGAGGCAAACAGTATTGAAAATATTTTATGAAACTTGAATTATGGATAGATGACAGTGGAGATTATCCACGTCAAACTTCACAACTCTGGCATCAAAATTATAGATCCCCCCCTTTGACATCGTCAGTTTTTGTAACTTCTTTATTTGTTTATGTATGAATTTTCATGAAAAATGCCTTCTTTATTTCTTAAGGTATCTACTTCGATCTTCATGTATATGTTCGTATTACCACTCAAATCATGTTAGAGGGTTTCACTACTATAGCTTGATTATTTCCAGAATAATGTCCCCTTAAATTTTTCCCATATTTTTTTTCCATTCTTGCAGGATATATTTACAACATCATAATAATATGACAAGGTTAATACATTTTTCGTCATATTGCTAGAATTATCTACCCGTTTACTTTGAATTTCCCATTTTTATTATCAAAATGGCCAGGAGTCAGCTGAAACTTTCGATGGAGCTGGTTCTGAGAAGCATACAGATCATAAACATCAACATCTAAGAGAAAAGGAAGATGGAAAGAAGAGTGAAAAATTAGATAAAAGGGAATCTGGTATTCCAAACGTACCTAAAGTTTTACACGCCCCTACTTCACAAAATGACACAAAATTTGTGTCTCAACAAGCTATTCTGCCTAACATGAATGCACAACGCCCAATGTTTTATCCACAGTTAATTCCGGTTGGTGGAGCAATTAGAAATATGACACCTATTGGAATGCCATTTATGATTGGTGGGCCACAGTTTGGTTTCCAGCCTGTCCCTAATCAGATGCAAACAATGCAAACTTTTGGTGGTCCTCATGGTGTAAAAGACGAGAAACCACTCAATGCATTAAATAAACTTGTCTCAGAGCAAAGTGCCGGACCAAGTAATAATAGAAATGCAGTAGCATCACACTCGGTTAAAAATAACACACCACCACATATCACGCCTCCATCTGCGCATAGTACCCAATCAAGTTCGAAAAGTTCATTAATATCGCCACAAACTGGTTCCCAAGTTCATCGACCTATCACTCCTGCTCATTCTCACAACAATAAACGGCAATACCCATATCCAGACACAAATCGAAATCATCCCTCATATTCCTCTAACTATAGTGCGAGAGATGTGAAACCTGAACCAGTCAACGATATAGATCTCAAAAGACAAAAGGTGCATGGATCTCAGGAAAAACTGTACCCGTCTAAAACAAATGAATTTGAAATGCCAGTGTTGGACTTGAGTATGAAAACGTTAAGAGCGCAAGAAGCGAGGCATCAAAGAGGAGAATCTTTGTTATTTAATACTAGTTTTAACAGTGAAAATAGACCCGGTCAAAAAACTGAACCTTGTGATGCACCACAAGATTTATCATTGAAATCAAGGACTTCTAATGGGGGAAGTGAAAGACATCAAAATGTGCAGAAAAGTGTTCCATTAAATATTCCATTCCCACGATTACCTACTGTTGCAACTCCTCCTAAGAAAGAAGAAGATGCTAGGAAAGAGGTTGGTATATTTAATGTTTCACTTGTCAGATTTTATTCTGTTTTTCGTTGCCCTAATGGTGTACCCAACCGTTTTAGACCTTTATTTGCAAGATGTTTACAAATATCTTGGTGATTTCAACTAAGTTACATATGATCTGACTTAACATTTAATAGACTTTTCACTTAATCATTATGAAACATGTTCAAGAAGTTTGTTTTAGATGAATAAGAGCCTTTAGTAAAATATTTTATCACTTGATTTAAAAACTAATAAATTACTTTTGTGTATCTAATGACGTTTGTGTATTAACTGACGGGGCAGAAATGATCAACCAAGAAATCTCAATATTTTTATACCAATACATAACTCGATGAATTTCCAAACACGTTAATGATATTAATTATTTTAATAGAAACACCACTATTAGCAAACTTGCATGTTTTTTTTTTAAAGTTGTTGTTGTTCAAGTCTTTTTCATGTGATAAGATTATTTGTCATTTTTATATTACCATATAATGTTAATGAATAATTCAATGTATTTAAAACAAAGGCTTGGTGATGTAATTCATATTTCCAATCTTGAATATTTTTTCACTTTTTTTGTCATATTAGGTGCAGTTTGCTTGTTTTATACCTGCACGGATAACAGATATAAAAAATCCAGAAAATTGATAAAATATATGATCTGTCAGACTGAATACATTGTGTATCTATAAGATGCAGTTAAATAATTTGAACTTGACCATCGACATTCTTCAACTTAATAAATTGAATATATTCCGTCAGAAAATAATCTTTTCTATAATGTTTTATTTATATTTACTTTAAGCAGAGATTGGATTTCCAGCCACCAGGCAGTAGCAAACACATTTTGCCGATAACTTCAAACACTATTACAACAATTGGCGGACTCCCTGTAGATTTGAGTAGCTTTGTTCATCCAGCATTTCCGCCACAGATGTTAATGCAGAATGTTTTCCCGACGCCGTTACAACTTCAACAAATGATTCAAGGTCAGGTGGCCGCCGGTATGCCAATGCTGAGACCTGACTATATGCCATCACCATTAATGTTCCCGCCCAATATGACTGTTGTTGCACCAACAATGTTCACAAATGTGATGCCTTCAGTTGCAAAATCTAGCACAAACTCTGCTCCTATTGTGAAAAGATAGGACTTACTTTGTTTATATTGTTACATATTTGAAGTCCCCCCATTAACTTGTGGTAACAAACCCGGATAAGCTTTCTGTAAAGTTGACGTATTTCTTGTGAGCTTTTCTGGAGCTGAGATGTAACTTCTTTTAAACTCCGTTCAAAATGAAACCCACTTATACCTGAGAAATGTGGAAAATGTTTTGTAGTCTGTAATAATATTTTTGCATAATTTCGTTTGTATTGTATACATTTGTATTTCAACGTTTATTTTCCGCATTTGGTGCGATCATTTGCACCTATTTTACCAGTATGAGCTGAATGTTGTACCCAAAGAATTCCGAAATTGTTTATAGTAATTTATTAATTTCATGTTTTACTATGTGCTATTTCATTGTTTATTGTAAATAAATGAATATTAAGAGCTTAACTAACTTACAAATCTTTGATGATTAAGGTTCGGTTTTGATATCCTTTTATTCTAAAGCATTATGCCTCCAGATTTGCGATTTTTTCAAGTTAAAAACAACGTATGATAAATGTATAAAGAGCTAAGGAAAAACATGGATGTTTATAATCTATGTAATACTTTACATGCTTTATGCAAGATATGTTTGAGCTTATTATTGTTAATTTTATAATCACTTTATTTCTTCCCTGATAGAAACAGAGTTAGGGGCTATAATTTAAATAATTTGACATTTCAGGTAATGAATATGCATTGTAAGTGCCTTATTCTAGCTGAAATTACTTTTTACACTTGCCAACGTTTTCATAATTTGTATTTTACATGAAAATCAACAGGAAACTGGAGGCATTCCGCTTTAAGTTTAATTCTAAAAGTTTGATCATTACAAACATAATAGGTCTTTCTAATTTTAGCTGAAATAATAACATGGATTATTATTTTCATAATTTTGTTAGATAGCAACAACTTCAATAAATACCTTATACAGTTGTCAATAGAGGAAACTATACAAAAATTAGCTATTACTAAATTCGCCAGAAATGCATGCCAATTTTGGAAGAAGCATCGATTGCTACTACTTACTATTTGTTCACTGGATACTAGTTAAAGTTAATACAACACAATAACTTGTATTGTAAAACAATTTGTCAGAATAGAAATTCCAAACCAGCATATTTATATATTCAGATGCAAACTTTTATATTTCTGACACAAATCCACATTTTATAAGTTATTAGCTTATGTATAATGAGAGGTGATCATTTGATACAAATTTATTTTATTATTATTTACAATGTACATATACTTTCTAATGTGATAAACATTCACTTGAACATAATACAATGAACAGGGGAGACTTTGAATCTAGAAAACACCGTAAAGGTGTCTCAATCAATGTTCTTCGTGTGCCGCTGAGCATTTTTGTTAGGTCATGGTTAGGTCACGATTTTAATTATTTACCTGCTGAATTATTTAAATTGACCTGTCCGACTTTATTTTTGAAAATATCCATTATCAATTTTAGAGATATCAAGATGAAAATTTGAATAACAGTATAGAGTCTACTCGGACTCTGACCTGGATCTATACTGTTGGCGAAGGTAAGTCACTTTAGGCAGGCTAAGGGTTAATTTTCTATATATGTGACAAAATAATATTGCGATATACATAGATTGGGTATATATTTGTTGGTACTTCATGTTTTTGTTTAATATTCAACAAAAAATGTTAGTATGAAATCATTTAGTACATTAATTTTACGCTATGAAATGGCAATCTAAAGGAAGTACCTGTATTAATTTTAGCTAATTTTTTAAGCAAAATTGCTCGTTCTACTCACGGAGGCATTTGGGAACATTACACAACTTACATAGGATCATTATTGTAGGTCACTGCTCAATTACCAAATTATTTCCCACTATTTAACATGGACATTTTTAACAATGCTTTTTTTACTGTATCAGACCACGAGCTTGACTTGTTGTCCAACTGACACCTCTTTTTAAGTGTATTTTAAAAGTGCATATATTTCTAGTCATGCAATAACTAGTGTTCATTATGTATTTGACAACTTGTTCATAAATCTTGTGTACAGTTTGGGATATTTTCTGTACATGCACATTGTTTCTTTTCTCCAAGAAACAGTTTATTGATTATTGTATTGTTTGCATCTTCTGTTTCCTAATTTTGCTTTAGATTTAATTGTTGTGCATATTGGGATACTTACAGGAATTCGGGGTTTTATGAAGAAGCAAAACAGTAACGAGAAAAATTCAGACACTGATATGTTTAGAAAAACAATGTAAAAATATGAAAAGATATACTTCAAATTTGATATTAGAAAATATTGATAATTGCTACACAGTCTCTTTGTAAATATTAAATGACATGTTTTTTGTCTTTACTCAAAGTAGATTTGTTATGTTTAAAATTCTACACACTAGGTGATCACAATATGAAATATATAGTGACATTAAGAAAAAAAGCTTTCAGTTTTTTTGTAAAAAAAAGATCAATATTACTTGACCTGTAATAAGGAATGCAGCGTCCCATACATAGTTTATTCGTTTTTTAATTGAAATTAGACATATTCAGTAAGAATGATAGATTACATAAAAAAATCCGTGATTGAAATATATTACTCGAAGATGAGCATAGTATATATCTTTTAATATAATGCTTGTTGTGTAATCGAAATTTCCATTGTATATGGTTAGATGTTTTGATACCGGAAAGTGGTTTTGTACAATTTGCATTTTTAAATGTTTTTGTTTGATAGATATTATTATATTCTATTCATAATATACAATGCACCGATTTAAGATTGTCATAATAATATAATAAACAGCTGTAAAATATCGTATGCTGTTGCTATAGCATTTGTATATGTCCTTTTCATAAACCTGACATTCAAGACAATTATGGATATCATTTTCAACAGGTGCGTTGGTCAGTTTTGAAACTAATATGGAGAAATTCCTGAAGCCTAAATACACATAAAATTGAAAGACAGACTAGTCTATTACCAAACAATGGTAACAAGATTAAAATCTCTCAAAACAACACACGGTAATCAAAAATCCACAAAATCGCAAAGCTGATTCAAGAAACAACTCGCGATAATAACTTATCTCTATGCCTCAATTAAAGAACTTTTTCAAAGAACGAAAGCCAAGTTTATGAAAGTCGGATTTTGTTAAACAAAAGTCGGATTTTGTTCTTTGTGGAAAATAAATACAAAAATATATGCATAATGTTAGATAAAGAAAGGGTCGATCACGATACACTTAATTTCAATTCATTAATTCATTAGAACGGTAGACTCTTATTGCCTGCTAAGTTTAACTATTCAAGTTATTTATTTCTGAAAGTGCCGCTAAGCCTTTTTATCGTAAGAAACCTATGGCAGAAAAATTCTGCCATAGGTTTCTACAAAGGGATAATCCAAATCAACAAACGCGTGCGTAAAAAGTGCTACAATTTGCAAGAACCTACTACAAGTAATATATATCTTCACATTCTAAGATGTAGCATAAAGACACGAGGCTTGTTCTGACAGGAATGATACAATATTTTTACAAATATTTTTTAACGTAGATATAAAAGAACGGCATTTTTGTCAGAAATAACCTGCAGTTCTTATTGTTTGCTTCACATTCGCGAAAAAGACAGACGATAATTAAGTGTGTTCAAAGTGAGGATATTTCGTATACATTCTATCTGATTGGTCTCCGATCAAGTAAAATTCTGCTTTGAAGGGCCGTCTTTAATCTCTTACGGATACTTGCTGCTTAAGAGAAGTTGCGTGGTTCATCGATAGCGATGGAATTACTTAAGTGGTATTATGACCGCCTGTTTTTTTGCCATGCAAACACTCGAAAACTTAATTGTAATCAGCGATCATCTGTAGATCTTAAATAAATCATTACGACTCGTGTATTTAAAGTCGCGAGAATTTGAAAAACAAATCACGGGCCAGATCGGTTATCAACATAACATTGGGAAATTCTCTGAAAGTAATGTCCGATGAAATCGTAAGAAAACCGTGTAGGTTTCCATTTATAAAAGATGCTTCGAATATACTTCCAATTTCGACCATAAATGCAAATGGTTTTATGTTAGGTAGCACAAGTTGACAGCATATAGCAATTTTAATGTACTAGTTTAACTACTGTCAATCACTGATAGAAATAATACGCATTTTTGGCAAAACACTCTGAGAACTGCACTGACTATCTTTTATTTTCCAAACTACAATTATATTGTTCCTCTTTACGTTTTCAGAATACTCGTCTTAAGTTTCTTTTATTAATACATTTACATCCGCCGCTTTAACAGCATCGTAAATGCAATTTAAACTATATTCACGAAAGATAAAGTCTGACCTAAATAAGAAATATAAAAATACATTGGCTGAAAATGTTTGAAAATGATCTTTGATTTAGATAAATTGCCTGGATGGGGTTGATCATTTGTTTGCTGAGCTTTTACTTTTCTTATAGATGTGATCATATGATCGGAAATCGAGAAACAACTTTCTTACGTCAGTTAACATCATTAGTGCAAGCGGAGCGGTAACAAAAATGACGCCTATATACCCAACAAACTTGGATGATTGACGTTTGTCTTCAGCGCTTGTTAGTCGTCGTTTATGTGATGACGTCGATTTTACATCAATCGTTAAATTTTTCACAATTTCCGCAGCAACTTCTTCGGCCTGTTCAAACGTTATGTTTTGAGTGTAAGTCGCAACAACAGTTGTAGTCACCGTATTTGTAGATATTTCTGTTGTAGTATCGGTCGATATTTCTGTTGTAGTTTCTGTTGTGGTATCGGTCGATATTGCTGTTGTGGTTTCTGTTAAGGTATCGGTCGATATTTCAGTTGTGGTATCGGTCGATATTACTGTTGTGGTTTCTGTTGTGGTATCGGTCGATATTTCAGTTGTGGTTATGTTGAGACTTTCTGTTAACGTTATTGTATCGCAGGCAGGTAGACCTAATGATGTCACCAAGGATATACTAGCTGACGAAGGCTGGACTAAAACTTGAAAAAAGAAATTACATTTCCCTTATTCCCTTATTTCTAGAAATAAAACTGATGCGAAATCTATTTCTTTTACGAAAAAAAAGCTGTTCTTTTTTGCGGACATATACATGTAAGATCTTACAATAAATGTATTACTTGAAAC